CTGAGAATATAAGGATCATGGGTAACAAGGCCAGCAACCTAAGGGGAGCAGACCATTTCCATGGTGACATTTTATTTTTAAGAGGTAGGCTGAAAAGTAGTTCTTGATTTGAGTGGCTTTTTGAATGTTTCAATGCAAATTTACCTAATTTTGACATCAGATATTTTAGTAAAACACAGTGTATGCAAAATGATTGGGTTTTATTTATTTATTTATTTATTTTTATTTTTATTTTTTAATGATTGGGTTTTAAATGGTGCCTGTGTGTATGTGTGTGTGTGAGAATGTGTGACATGAAAGACTTAGGCAAGAGGGAGCTGGTATGTGGTGGAATAGTTATATGAAAAAGGAATATGTTTTGGTCAGTTATTTCCCTATATTTCATTGAGGTTTGTGTATTTATTTATCTATTTTAGTGGGCAGGGTGAGTGGTCTTTTTTGTTGTGCATTGACTGATTATCTTTCCACTAAGCTATTACAGGGAGAAAAGCAAATTTTTTAAAGAGTATTTAATGCAAGTCATACACTAGGAGTATGAAAGATTCCTGAGTTGTTGTCCATGCCAGGTTGAATAGTATGTCAAGACTTTGGCTTTCAACAATAGCTAATTTTCAGTACCGAGATTATCCTGTAAAATTGGAATAATTTTGGAAAGGAGTCAGGGTCTCTCAGTTGTAGAAGTTCACCATTATCAGTGGTTAGCTCTAATTAACACAAGAATGTGATTCAGATGACATCCACGGGGTATGTAAGTGCCTTTGTTGTGTGACTTACTGTTTGTGGAAGAACCAACTCTTGTGGAAAACGTAGACTTTGCAGTCATTGGAATATAATTATGTGTGTGTTGTTTGTTTTTACAGAACAGATGCAAGACAAAGAACATAGTATGAGATATTGGAATGCAATTTCAAAACATATGTTTCCAAAATTATGGAAACGTTCTGGATGATAAATAAATCCTTTCAGCCTCAGAGGGTACAGGCTTGTAAGTCTGAGGGAGAGCCGGGTGTTGGATGGGGAGGAACGTGGTTTAAGTAACAGGCTGAATAGTAAGCACATCAAAGCCATTAAAGCATAAACCCCCAGATTTAAAAATGTGAGAGGCAAAAGATTATGTACTGTGGTCTGGCGGCTTTATAGAGCCCGTTTCAAATGAGGGATAGAACAAAAGAATGTGTGATTGAAGCTCTTGAAGAGATTTATTTGAGGAGAGAGGCAAACATTTTGCTCTGATACCAATTAACCGGGAAGAAGCACCACGTCATAAATGCCAATATTAAAAATGTAAATCCCACACCCGAGGGTGTATTGAAGACAGGTCACAATGCTTTGAAGATGGAATGCATAAAGAGATAACAGGAAGAGAGCTTTCCAACTGCCCAGCCTACCTGCTTAGTTCTGTGTCCTGTTTGCTGGTGAGATTTTAAACGGGAAAGTAGGCTCTTCGTAGTCCTGCCACTTGACCTATTATTATGCGAGATTTCGATTCCACCCAAAGGAATTTATTATGAGGACGCCGGAAGACTCTCTTTATCAGACTGTTTCATCTGTAACAGCCTGGAGATGCTCTGGAGTTTTTCTATATTATTTTGGATAGCATAGTTCGTATAATGGACATGTAAAGGTATTTATGAAACATGGAGTGAAAACCATCAGGTACTATGTATGGCACTTTTATACCTTCTAAAGTATATTCACATCCGTTAACTTGGTTGTTCCTCACCATAATTCTGTGCAAGAGGAAAGGCATATGTAGTTTTAGTCTTTAGAGCTCGGGAGGAATGTAGGATCATTCAGCCCATCCCTTTCATTGTGGAAAAGAGGGCCAGGGAAGTTGAGAGATATTTCTATCCATTAGCCTACTAGGGAAACTAAGCAAGGAGAGATCTGAGCTTCTCAGCCACCAATAGCATTGTGTGTGTTGAATCTTCCATTTTTCTCATTGATAATAATGCACCCCAGTCTTCTGGGAAAGGAAATCCACTAAAGAGTCAAATAAAAAGTGTTGTCTGGAATAGAGATGTCTGTTGCTACAAAAATATTCAACTCATCGTTGCTGAACTAAGATAATAAATCTCTTTACCTTTTGTATTTTGGTGCATTGAAACATTATCTTTTATGATCATAGGTGTTGCTTCATTATTTAAAGCATACTTGTTATTGCAGGAAAGACAAGCTCGCATTTGATTTATAATGGAACGATTGTGCTTTGAGTTAAATGAAAGTTCAAAGGAAAATGAATTCTAAATAAGAATAATTGAAGAGATTCAAGGTTCATTTGAGTTTATATTCATCAAGGCAATTGTCTCCAGAAATCCTCTTATTTAAAGCAACAGGACAGATCGTAACTTACAAACTTCGCCTTTATGACATCACTTTATTCTATATATCATAATCAGAAATGTTAAGCCTCAGCAGTAATTTATACAAAACGTATTGTTACAGAGTTATAAATGTCATTAAGTGGTAGACTTATGCCTCAGGGTCATGCAAGTTGAACCCTGGATTTAAGAAAATTACCCACAATGCAAGTGTTCTATAAAAATATTCTTAGTCCTTTCTTCTCCAGAGCAGTTTCATATTAAAAGTTCAGTTTCATTTTACACCTGTACTCTGCTCTGGGAAGTGCAACCTTTATTTCTCCTTCATGTTTTTAAAGTCACCTTCTTAATTCTGGTAGAACATAACTCAAACAACTGAAAATGTTAGGAATGGATTTACAGTCCCTCTGGCTACTCTCTATCTGGGATGGAAAGGAAAGTGAAGCTGGAGATAACTTTTCCTGCCATCAAGGGACACCTAGAGAGAAGAGGCGATGAATTGTAATGTGCCAACTAGTTTTGATTATTCAGGGACTTGTGATAGAATTTGTGGATGATTCAGGTCTCTGGTTTCCTATTTTGGCTAATTTCCCTGCTCAGTGGCACCTCTGGTGGTCAGGGACAACCATCCTCCTAGGTGGGTCCCCAGTGGAATAGTGGCGGGGGCATGGCCCCTTTTTGAGCACCTCGTCTGTGTCAGACACAGGGTACAATTTTCACAAAACCGCTCTTTCGTCAAATCATCACAATAAACCTATAAGGAAGTACTGTCAACCCATTGTATAGATGACAAAGGCTGAGAGTAATTCATTCACTTCTTAAATCTTTGAGTACGTTCTACGTTCTAGTTCCTGGGAAAAGATGGTGCATGAAGGAGACGTGGTCACTGTCTTCTCTGAGTTTAGAATACAGTAGGGAAAAGAGAAATTAGACAAATTGCTCAACATATAAATGGTAAAATTACAAATGGTGATATGTGTTATGGATAAAAGTTTTAAGGGATTGTGAGATTCACAAATAGGGACCTGACCTAATTTGTGGTCAAAGAGGGTGTCCCTTCTCTGAGCTGACAACTAAAGGAAGGAGTAGAAGTTGTCAAAGTTTGCACAGCTAGCCAGCTGCAGAGCTGGGATTCAAACTCGGGTTTGTCTGAGTCCAGATTCTGTTCATATCTCGTTCCCACATGCAGATGGAACTGTGCATTGCAATCAGTGCCCTGACTCTAGCCACCAGCCACACCAGCCCAGCTTCTGCCTCCTTGCACTCCCAGGTCTTTGGGAGCTGGTGATGGGGGATTGGGGTGTGTGTGGGGGGACCCTATAGCTTCTCAGCAAGTTGTACCAGCAACACGGAACAGCCCTCACTCCCTGCATTCTTTCCATTTTCTTTGTGGTTCTGTCTAGCGTGGACGTGGGCCCCAGTGGTAGGGGCCACCTTCTGCTGTTACTCGTAATGAGGAAGACAGCAATTCTGAACACCTGGGAGGGGCTTGATTAATGACCTACCCAAGCTGGAGTTCAGAAACCCTGCTTGGGGCCTCCCCAACTTCCCAGAGCCTGCTGCCTGGTCTGACTCCCTTTGCTTAACCCTGCCTCTCCTGAGCAAAAGCCATCTTGGGGATTAGCTACCTGCCTGAAGACTCCCTGACCTGCTGAAGAACTGCAGCAGGGAGTCCTGTTAGCAGCTGAGGGAGGGTGATTGGAGCCTGACCAGAACATTCCTCGCTCATGTTTCCACCCACTTCATGACTGCAGGGTAATTTGCCCCGTTGGACTCGGTGGTTGCCCCAGAGCCACACCTTCCAGCCAGGCACAGGGGTTGGAGCAGCTGAGGATGGTGAGAAGTCTGGGAAATGGAGCATTTTCCTGGGCTCTCTATTGATCCCCACCCCCCCCCCCCCCACTGATGATAGCAGGGGCAATGATTTGTCAAAGAAAGTGAGGTGTTGAGGGGTGCCTGGGTGGTTCAGTCAGTTAAGCATCGGACTCTTGGTTTTTGCTCAGGTTGTGATCTTGGGGTCCCCAGATGGAGCCCGGGGTCAGGCCCCTGGCTCAGCAGGGAGGGTGGGGAGTCTGCTGGAGAGTCCCTCTCCCTCTGCCCCTCCCCCCCATGCACACACTTGCATGAGCTCTCTTTCAAATAAATCTTTAAAAAGAAAAAAATGGAGGCATTGAGTGACTCTTCAAAGGCGCGCCTCCAAAAAATAAAAAGAGCAAATCCCAAAACTGTTAGACAAAACTCCTTTTTCCCTAAGCCTAAATTTCCAGCGAGGGTTTTTTTTTTTTTTCTTTCGAGTTAAGCACCATTGCCTTCTCACTTCAGTGCCTTTGTTAAAATGCAGACAGTCTGGGCAGAAGGAGAGATTTTAGTCCCAGTCACCTTAAGGTGAGTGAGTTTATCACCTCCCTTCTCGGTACCTGGTGAAAGGGCGGCTGGCGGGCAGTGGGTGTCTTGGGGAACAGCTGCTAGAGTTGGGGGACAGACCCGCAGGCCACTGTCAGGGCTCCCAGCTCTCCAGGCTCCTTTTGCAGAAAGCAACAAGACGTTACGACCACTAGGGGGCAGAAGTAGGCCGGCAGTTGGTCTCTGGACTCGTTACCAATTCTGAAAACCAAAGTTGGCAAATATGCATGATTACTGCTCTCTTTTTCTTAGGAATCTGAGTCTCTGAGATGATACGGATGTGTGGATGAGGCCACTGTAGTGCAGTGGAGCAACTGGGGGGAAAAAAAAGCCCTGTACAGGTAAGGCAGGTGCCCATTGGATTCTATCAATGGACTTTGATACTGTTTTCCTACTGTTTTTATTATGAAAATGTACTGAAAATTTCTCAGAGCTAAAGGTCACATGAGAACATTTGAAGCTACACTGGTTTGTCAAATGCATATTGGTGCTCTCGATTTCACAAAAGGATAAAAACATATATACAGATATATTTTTCTGATTATAGAGAACAAACTCTCTTGAGAAAGGGTGAAAAAAAAATCCTCCTCACAGTCAAACATATATTGTACTGTTACGGATGGCTCTGTTCTTACTGAATAAATCTTGCTTAGCAACTTACCTCCAGAGTAAATAATAAATCACCACCGAAAGCTCCAGGCATTTAGCTCTGTCTGGGCAGTAAAACTTTGCGATAGTCTTGACAGCATTTTGTAAAATCATAATTGCTTAGGGAAAGTGATTCTGGATGTCTTAAAATGTTCGGAATTAAAGAGTAGCTGTTCCTTTGAGGGAAATTATCCTAATGCTGTATGTGTGTTATCCTTTATATGAATCTAAGTTATAATCTACAGACCCTCATCACTTCTGTTAAGAATGTACTAGAATTTGACTAGGAACAGAGCCACATGCATCATATTCTGGTTTTATAGGAATCTCTGTGACAATTAAGGCAAAGATGCTTGTTATCTGGGCACAGTACACTATGTGCAGGCCTTATATATATATATATTATATGTATAATATATAATGTTATTTATATATTATATAATGTTAATTATATAACATATATATGTGTATATATATGGCTAACATTAACATTATATCTATATATGCACAATTTGTGTCTCTCTAATATTTATATGTTGAGACCTAATCTTAGTAACTTAGAATGTGACTGTGTATGGAGTTGGGTCTTTAAAGAGGTAAATGAGATCATATGGGTAGGTCCTAATCCAATATGACTGGTATCCTTATAAGAAGAGGACATGTGCACACAGATACACACACAGAGGGAAGGACCTATGAAGACATAGGGAGGAGATGGCCATCTACAAGCCAAGGAGAGAGGCCTTGGAAGAAACCAGTTCTGCTGATACCTGAGTCTCAGACTTCAAGCCTCCAAAACTATGAGGAAATAAATTTCTGTTTTTTTTTTTTAAGATTTTATTTATTGATTTGAGAGAGAGACACAGAGGACAAGCAGGGGGAAGGGCAGAGGGAGGGACAGAGGGAAGGACAGAGGGAGAGGGGAAGCAGACTCCACATTCATAGGGGAGCCCAGTGTGGGGCTCCATCCTGGGACTCCAAGATCATGACCTGAACCATGTCAGATGTGTAACTGACTGAGCCACCCAGGAGCCCTACAGATTTTTGTTTTTGAAGCGACCCAGTCTATGGCAGTTTGTTATGACAGTCCTAACAAACTGGTATTTTATACATGCAGACATACCTTATTTTATTGTGCTTCGCAGATACTGTATTTTTTGCAAAGTGAAGGTTTGTGGTGAACTCAGTGAACTCTGTGTCCAGCAAGTCTGTTGGTGCCATTTGCCCCACGGTGTGTCTCCATGTCACAGGTTCGTAATGCTCACCCTGTTTCAGACTTTTTCATTATTATTATATTTGATACGGTGATCTATAATGTTAAGTATTGTCATTGTTTTGGGGTAGCACAGATTGTACCCAAATAAGATAGTGATCTTAATAAGGGGGTGTATTCTTTTAAAGATTTTATTTATTCACGAGAGACACAGAGAGAGAGGCAGAGATGCAGGCAGAGGGAGAAGCAGGCTCCATGCAGGGAGCCCGATGTAGGACTCGATCCTGAACTGAAGGCAGACACTCAACCGCTGAGCCACCCATGTGTCCCAATAAAGGTGCGTATTCTGATAGCTCCACCAACCAGCCATTCCCTGTTCCCCCCACCCCCATATCCCCTTGCCATCTCCTTGGGTCTCTCTATTCCCTGAGACACAACAATTTTGAAAATAGGACAATTAGTAACCCTACAATGGCCTCTAAATGTTTGAGTGAAAAGAAGAGTCGCATGTCTCTCACTTTAAATCAAAAGCTAAAAATGATTAAGTTTAGTGGGGAAGGCCTGTCCAAAGCAGAAATAGGCCGAAAGCTAGGCCTCTGATGCCAGTTAGCCAAGTTATGAATGCAAAGGAAAAGTTCTTGAGGGAAATTAAAAGTGCCATTCTAGTGAACACACAAATGGTAGGAAAGTGAAACAGCCTTATTGTTGATGTGCAGAAAGTCTTAGTGGGCTGGATAGATGATCAAATCAGCCACAACATTCCCATAAACCAAAACCTAATCCAGAGCAAGGTCCTAACTCTTCAATTTTATGAAGGCTCAGAGAGGTGAGGAAGCTGCAGAAGTTTGAAACTAGCAGAATTGGTTCATGAGATAGAAGGAAAGAAGCTGTCTCCACACACGAAAGTGCAAGGTGAAGCAGCAAGTGCTGCTGTAGAAGCTGCAGCAAGTTATCCAGAAGGTCTAGCTAAGACCATTCATGGAGGTGGCCACACGAAACAACAGATTTTTTCAATGTAGACGAATAGGTTTTTATCAGAGGAAAATGCCATCCAGAAACTTCATAGCTAGAGAGGAGAAGTCAATGCCTGGCTTCAAAGCTTCAAGGGCAGGCTGACTCTCCTGTTAGGGGCTGATGCAGCTTCTGACTTTAAGCTGAAGCCAATGCCCATCTGCCATCCTGTAAGTCCTAGAGCCCCTAAGAATTATTCTAAATCTACTCTGCGTGTGCTCTAGGAATGGAACAGCAAGGCCTGGATGAAGGCACATCTGTTTGCACCGTGGTTTAGTGAATATCTTAAGCCCGCTGTTAAGACCTACACCTTGGGGGGCGGGGGGAAGATTCCTTTCAAAATGACAATGACGGTTTTAGAACATTACATAAACTGAACTGATAAAATGGCAGCAGGGTTTGAGAAGACGGACTCCAATTTTGAAAGAAGTTCAATTGCGGATAAGATGCTCTCAAAGGGCATCACATGCTACAGAGGAAGCATTTATGGAAGGAGGAGTCCACGGATGCAGCACATTTTATTGTCTTATTTTAAGAAATTGCCACAGCCACCTAAACCTTCAGCAACCACCACCCTCCCATATCAGCCAGCAGCCATCAATATTAAGGCAAGACCCTCCACCCGCAAGATTATGACTTGCTGAAAGCTCAGATGATGGCTAGCATTTTTAGTAATACAGTATTTTATTTTATTTTTAAAGATTTATTTATTGGGATCCCTGGGTGGCGCAGCGGTTTGGCGCCTGCCTTTGGCCCAGGGCGCGATCCTGGAGACCCGGGATCGAGTCCCACGTCGGGCTCCCGGTGCATGGAGCCTGCTTCTCCCTCTGCCTGTGTCTCTGCCTCTCTCTCTCTCTCTCTCTCTCTCTCTCTCTCTGTGTGTGACTATCATAAATAAATAAAAATTAAAAAAAACATTTATAAAGATTTATTTATTGAGACACAGAGGAGGGGAGGGGGAAGGATAGAGAGAGAAGGAGAGAGTCTCAAGCAGACTCTACTGAGCACAGAGCTTGATTTCACGACCCTGAGATCATGACGTGAGCTGAAATCAAGAGTAAGTGATCACCACTTGCCCTACCCAGACACCCCAGTAAAATGGTATTTTAAATTTGAAGTTATATACGTTGTGTTTTGTTAGACATAGTGTTATTGCACACTTGATGGGCTACAGTATAATGTAAACATATTTTATATGCACTTTTTTGGGAAACCAAAAAATTCATTTGATTTGCTTTATTTTGATATTTGCCTTATTGGGGTGGTCTGGAACCAAACCCGAAATATCTCCAAGGTATACCTGTATATTATGTGTGTGTGTGTGTGTGTGTGTGTATAAGTATGTTATATATGCAATTGTTTTCAAAAGTCAATGTGTTAAAATGATATCTCTACACATTTAAAAGGGAGCCCATGATTTGGATTGAACAGTTTTAATATCAGTAATTTTGAAGTAGAATTGTTTAAAATGAAATCTCATCTTTATAGAAACTCAGGCGATTGAGCTAATAACCTCTCCATAAGTTGCAGATGAGTGCTGCCAACTGTATTTTTGCCTGGGTTCAATATAACTCCTTGGCTGTTTCAGTTTCTTACTCTTGGGAATTAGGAAGGTACATTTAGGTGTTGTTCCTTCTATCTTTCCCCAAGTTGTCTTAGGACATTTAGACCTCAAGTCTTGCAGAATAAGCAAACTCTCTTTCTTTGTCTTATTTATTAATCTAGCACAACAACAGTGTGTTGTTCCCAGGGGGAAAGAAAAAAAATGCATCAAAAAACAACCAAATCCAAAACCAAACCCAGAGGAAGAGCTGGAGCTAAGTGGTTCAAAACATTTAGAATGTAAAATCGAGCTAGTGTTTCAATAGGAAAGCATGGCTGAGAGTTTTTAAATCTCATTTTGCTTATTTGCCTGTCTCCAGGTTTGCTGAAAGCTCATTGGATGGGAGTTTGGACCAGTGGTCAGGAAGCCTCAATCTAGCCTCCCCTAGGCATTTGCTTCCTTTTGGTACTAACATTCTGTATAGTAATTAAGGTTTTGAGACCAGTGAGCAAGTGCTGGACCTCAATTAGCTCTTGGCAAAACTGGCAAGTTAAACTTTCCTGTCCCAGCGCAGTATGGCCTGGTGTCTTCTTTCTAAGCCAGTGCTTGCTTGGTAAGATCCTCTCACATCACCTGTGGGCACCACAGGCTGGTTCTCGGGTGTTAATTTCTCTTCTGTCTCTCCCTCCAGCAAAACTGGTTCTCTAGAGAGCATTGGATACAAGTCATTTACAACTCAGTGCCAGCTTGATAGGTTACCTTACTCCATGGCAAGGGCATTTAAAATCACATTCTTGGGGCCCCTCGGTGTCCTGTTGGTTAAGCATCCGACTCAGGTCATGATCTCAGAGTCTTGAGATTGAGCTCCATGTCAGGCTCCATGCTCAGCGCGGCATCTGCTTGAGACACTCTCCCCTTCTTCCTCTGCCCCTCCCCCCATGCTCTCTTTCTCTCTCTTTCTTAAATAATCTTTAAAAAATCAAATCAAATCAAATCACATTCCTTATCAATTGTAGAACTTTCTTTTTCTAGGTGTAGGACACCTAGAGTAGGGTGGAGGCATTTTTGAGGGGCAAGAGCTTCCTCTTAGGCATCTGTCAGGAAGGTAGTTCATGTCTTTGCTGGTGGAGAAGGCTGGGTGTGGTCAGGATTAGGAGCTGGGGTCTGATCGACTTCTTTCATCTTCATCCTTTCATGGGGGGAGGGGGGCGTGTGCATATTCGGATGTGTATGTGCTCACTCTGAGCGACTCAGTGTTATACACCAGTTATTTGAGCCATGAAGTAGCCTGAGTCCCATGGGCAGCAGGACAGGACAGGGTGTGACCTTTGTTGCCTCTGTCTGATGCAATTTGGGCAACAGAGCATGGTACACATGAGGAGATCAATAAAAGATGTTTTTGGGTGGATGAATGAATGAATGAATGAGTCCTAGAAGCTCACAGGAAGAACCCACTTTGGGTTTTTCACTTTATAATCCTGTTGTCTATTCTAGTTAGGTGTGAGTATGGTGCCTTGGCCCCCTGCTCCAACACGCTGCTATGCTACACGCTGCACCTGCTATACCATGTAGTATGTTATCCTATGTAGTACATGCGGCATATACACATACATGCTTTCTATTATATAGAGAAGATATAAATCCAAAATCAAAACATTTAAAAGGTTGAGAAAAACCTAACTATAAATAGAAGCTGTAATGTTTCTTCCTATACCTTAATGGGTGTAAATGCATGCCTTTGGGGGAGGGGATTGAGCCCTGCTTTGGAAATCATTTGCTTAGTGCAGTAGTTTTATGTCTGACATTGATCAGAATCTATGCTATATCCACTAGATGAAGTAATACCAGAATTCAATTAAATAAATATTCACTGAGGGTCCGTCTTCTTAGTGGATGGATAGTCTGCTAAATGCTAAGGGGTTGATGACTCTGTGCTTTGGGTTATTCCAAGCAGGATTGATTTAAACTACTTGCTGTCATTTTCCCACAAATAATACTCATACTGGCTGGTTGCATGCCTAGATTTTTTAGTACAGAAAGTATCATGACAATTTCTGGGGAAGAGGCAAAAGAGATAGAGGATGTCTCTTGTTCCTTAGTTATGTTGTGTTGTTAGGATTAGCCACAACAGTAAAAAAATAAAACAAAACATAACACCAAGACCACCAAGAAGAAGCATACAGGAGCTTCAGATAGCTTGGTAATGTCTGTTTCTGAACTCAAAAGGAGGATGCGCAGGTTTCCTTTTATTATTATTATTTAATCTGTACATAAACGCTATAGATACACTTCTGAAGGATGGGTTATTTTGTAAAAGCAAAAGGAAATAAAAGAAGGCATTAAAAAAAAATCATAGGACCCTCTGAGATTGAGGCCAAACAGAACAAAGCAGGCAGTACACAGATCAGTAGGGCTATGGCAGTCTGGGAAAGATTACCAGTGACCGAGAAGAACAGTGGAAAGTGGGCAGGTGGAGAGGAGCA